AAAAATATTGCAACCCAAGACTAAGTACTGTCCAGGGTGTTGAACAAAATTTTAACTGAAAAATCAACGTGGTCCAAGCATTTACCATTTTGCGTGTAGTCAACTTGTACGTAAATAATCTAATTCTTGGATTAATTTAAGTGATTTCCATCCAATTTTTTGTTCAACTTCTTGCAACAATTTTTGGGTATTTATCTACTGATGTTATTAAAAGTATTGTTTCGGAAAAAAGTTATAATAAAAAATAGTTTTTGGTTATTCTACTGAAAGTGAAAAAAACACTCTAAAATTGCAACTTGAAAAACTAATTTGAAAATAATTTTAAAAATTGATGAAAAGCAGTAAAAAAAACGCAGAAAAATACATTCTTTGTATTAGACGTTATTTTTAAAATATAAAAAATTATCACTGCAGCTAACATTTTACATTAAACAATAAACGAAAATCGCAGATAGTAAACATTTTTTTTGGTATCGTAGACTTTTCTCATTATTTTTATCTTAACACTTTTAATACAAAAAATCATTTCAAGTGTACTAAAATAATGAGGGTAATATTAATAAAGCGTATTAAATTTTTTTGAACGTACGAATATTTTTATTTTCTCAGAAAATCCTTTGAATAAAAATGGAAAATAATGAATTCCCCTTATGCAATCTTAATTCACTGGGCTTCTATTAATAAAATCTAAAAATAAAACCAAATAGAAAACAATTTTTATCAAAAAAAAAAAATAATAAGACTTTGCACTGACCAACTATTAGTATTTAATTAAATATTCGGCGAACCAAAACTCGTTAGCTTTACGCACATGAAACTCACGCACTTCTGTTACTCATTAAAATAGTTACAGCGGAAGAAACTTCCACTGTGATAAGCCATAAGATCATGAAAAATCCCGACCATGAACACTTTGAGTAAATACTTTCTTTTAACCAAAAAAAAATCATGGAAATAACACCAACAAACGACAGACAAAAGCCAAAAGCTTCCGCGTCGCAGAAAGTGCGAGCAGCGACTGACGTAAAGCTGGCTCGTGGCCAGAGACTAGTTGTTTTGCAACAAAGAGCGCGAGATTTCGTGTTGTGCAATTTCCATCCTCTCGCTCTATCTTACGTATCGGTTCATAACATTATACGTATACACGTGCGATAACAGCTACATATTATATGCTGATGATCTTTGCCCGGACCACGCGTGTTTTCATGTGCATGTTAACGTGATGGCACGTGTGTTTGTTTTGTGGAGCAATTAAAAAAAAAAGAGGCAACCAATCGCGCTTAAAGTGATTCAGCTTGGGATACTTACTTAACAAAAGTTACGAAAAATTAAACGAGACATGCACTTTTAGTATATCAATGTACGAAAATAAATTTTTCTTACCAGTGATTTTGTTTTATAAGCACATGTTTCATTGAGTTCAAATACTGTTATTGAGTCTCGATCAAACCTTATTATACTGATATTGTATGGGAAAAGGGTAATTAA